GATATCTCATTTTTGTCAGAATTTCAATGGTTTTTGTGCAAAAAATTTTTCATTTCATTATTTTAGCAAAGACAAGCATAACAGGAGATCAGAAGTGAACTTATTTTTCTCTACCTTATTAAATTATACGAAAAATAGTTAAAATTTGTTGTCACAGATGAAGTGGTGCGGATATTAATTATGTCTGATGGTTCGGCATCCAACCACGAAAAAAATGTAAACATAACTTTTAACGTGGTTGCTGTGTTAATCATCTCGTTGCTCACTATTGCCTTGCTTGTTATTGGTTAGAAATCTTAATTTTTAATTATAAGCTTTCAATCTCACAAATACACTAAGCATTATGTGGTATGTAAGAAAAGGCTCGAAATTGTAGTCCGCTTTATGATAAAATTTTTGCTTTATTCGTAAATTTTTTTGCATTTGCTAAAGACAAATTTATGGTTATAATTTTCGATTGATTAAACTTGGAAAGTTTTAAATTACTCCGCAACATTGAACATATTTTAGGTTTAATTGTTATTGCTCTTACGTTGAATCATTCTGTTATGGATAATGAATACAGCATCAGCTCAGATGAGATAAGTGATGAATTACGAGAGGATTCAACGGTAGATTCAGACTTTCAAAAGTCATCAACTCATATTTTATAGCTGTGCAATGAAAGTTTATTATGATACAAATTGGTTTTCAGGCTATTGTTCACTCTCATTATTTTGTTTGTAGCTTACGAAGATAAATAAACAATTATAAATTCTCTTTCGTTGTGCTGGCAAAATCAGCAGCTAATTTGTACAAATTTTTTATTACCAAAATGAAGATAAGTAAGTTTCATTCAGATTTGGGCACCAAACTTTTCGCAATCCGCTCACCGCCTGCTACCACAAGTTGGTATTGTGGGGAAACTGAACGAATATTCATTTGCTTCAAGCAGTGAAATATGACTTTAGTTGGCAAAATGAGTATCCATTTTTCAGTGTATTTTAAAATGAACACACTATTTCTGCATATATCACATATTACTACTTTACTGCACAATTTCGACAAATATGTAAATGTTCAAGAACTTTTTTTCTCACTGATTCATCAAGCGAACTGAAAATTCTTATTTATATGTTTGCATATATCTCTTGTCTATCTCTTGTATCGTATGTACTATTTCACCATCAGCAGCCTCAAAATATTTAAAGTAAAGTATTGGGCTTTTACTTTCATGCAATGACTTGTTAATTTTTTAAATTTGAAATTCAGTGAAGTTTGTTACAGTTTACAGCGTGTGTAACGTAAGAAACATCATCAGCTACAAATTATTCAAAATTTCCTCTCCTCATGTAGGGTTGCTGCATGCAAATTTTGTGTGCGCTATACGTGACGAATATAATTGCTTCGTGCAATGTGACGAAATTCATTGTAGCAGGCTTCTTGCTCTCGGTTGGTTGGTCGCATTTTAGCACCTTTAATTAGGATTACGTTCGACAAGATATGCAAGATTACATTAGGAAAATAGTGCTAGAATTGTAGGATGTCTGCTTGCATGGCATTGTTTTACTCTGCATTACGTTGTTTATCCTTGCAATGGGTCGGTGGTTTTTGAGGGTTTTAAGTATACTCTCGGTTTGACCTGTGTAGAATATGAGGTTATTTTTTGCTCTTCAAGTTGGTTAACCTGTATATACTGTACATAGTTTGAGATTTTGAGTGGTCATTTTCGTCGTTGAGAATTTGAATGGTTACCTTTTCAAATATTGTCATATTATACATAATGCTTAACTTAAAAGCAACATATCATAGAATCATGGCGCCGGAGAAGAAGTCACCGATTACCAAAAGTAATCTCATGTACCAAAAATCCAAGCATTGTAGAGCTTTAAGCGAAAGTGATATTGACAAATTTCTTATTGCGCTGCTGGTTGCTTATCGTAGACCGGTTTACAAATTATCCAGTTACATTAGTATCAACTCATTCCTCAGTGTAAGAATAAATAAATTTACCTTCGGAATTTTCGTGAGGAATTTTTTGCGCTTTACTTTCAGGCAATCATTTGGGGACAGCATTTTCTCGCGTATTTTGAGGAAAGAACAACTCACTACCAATTATTAATGCTAATCTTATTCCTTCATTCTGTACTACTCTTAAAAATCACTTTATTTTGAATGTTCGCGTGTTGAATAAAAACCTGTTCAGATATGCCATACAGTTATCGATGTATTGAAAAAATGCTCTACTCTGGAATATGTGCACGATCCTCGCGGCATAGGAATTATTGGTGATATCCATGGTGATTTCAGTGATCTCGTGAAATGTTTGGTTGACACTGGTTTGCCTTCTACTAGAACAGTCCTTTTTCTTGGTCAGTTTATTTTCTCACATTCATTCAACTTCAGCAAGTACACATTTTATCAAGTTAAAATTTTTATTTCTTGCAAATTGCTCTTGTATTTCAAGAGTTAATTAAAGTTAACTAATAAATTTACTAATGTGCGCAGTAGTTTTAGGTGATTATATTGATCGTGGAGATTACCCTATTGAGGTGTTATTATTTCTATTCTTGCTTAAAATAAGATATCCGAATTGTATAATTCTGTTGCGTGGTAACCATGAAACACAAGAAATGTGCAGTCGATATGGGTTGAAAGAAAAAGTATACTTTTTCGTTTCGATTCAAATTTGAAATCACGTTAGAACAGTTTTTTAAAAAAATTGATTTGTAGCTTGAACTTTTGAAACAGCAATGAATAGATTGAGCTAATTTTGACAAAAAAATTTTGCATTCATTTGAACGGATGTAGGATTAGGAAAAGCATCAATAGCTAACATAGAAAGAAGAATTACAACTGATAAAGATAAAATACAAGCCAGTAAAAATTGCATAGATTTGATTGTGTGAGAATCAAATAATAAAATGTTTGAAGACTGAGGTTATATCTTTGACTGAAAATAAAAAGTAATGGAAAGAATCAAAATGAACATAGTATAGAAATAGGTTCGATGCAATCATTATTGAATTAACTGGAAAAGAACACAATTTTAATATGTGTCTGTATTGAAATATTTATTCCATAGCTGCTTGTCAAATTCTGATAATATTGCTATTTAAGCTGGCAGTCGTGTATCCAGAAGAAGAAGCGTTATTTCTTCTCTGTTTGATAAATCTAATTTTTGATCACCTCCCATTAGCTGCCATTGTTTCTGGTCTGTTTATTTTTTCAAATTAAATGGATCCAGCTTTTTGATAAGATTTTTGTAGATTAGAACTAAAAATGATTATTTTTGCTTCCAGTAAATTGTAAGAAATGTTTTTTAGATTGATAATTTTAAAATATACTTAGCTATTATTATATTTCTTATTATTTGCTGATAAAAGGTAGTTACTCTCTTATTGAAAATTAAGCAAATTGTATATATAGAAAAGCGAAAAAATTCTGATTTGTAGATCAAATTTTATGTTGCCATGCTGGAATTTCACAATTTGTTGACAATAGATGTGATATCGCTAGCATCCCACGACCACCATTTCGAGGAGGAAGAGAAACAACCTTGCACCAGATTGCAATCTTAACAGATTTGCTTTGGTCTGACCCAATGGATAATCAGTATGCGTAAACAAAACTAAAATATTAACTAGTTAATTCATAGAGTTTTTCTGATCGATTGACTACTTTCAAATTCAATTCAATAATTGCTCAATATAGTTTTTCAAAAACTGACATATATTTTAGAAAAGATGAATACTGTCCGTCTGCTCGAAATACAAGCTTTTTTTTCAATGAAGCTGCTTTGCGCAGGAGTTTGCGTAATTTAAGATGTCGTGCTCTTATCCGTGGCCATCAAGTATCAAATGTATGTCTTTGACAAAGCATTCTTTGCACTGTCATCATTCATTTCCATTTCCATTGTATTACTACAGATTGCATGTTCATGACATAATTGTTAGGAAACTGCAAATTTTTTCAGATTGGCTTCAGAAGAATGCACAATGGTCTCTGCTACACAGTACATTCATCGAATAGTGGATCTGTCAAAAAATACTTAGCTTCGGTCATG